TGACCAACTGCGCTGGCGACATGCCTTCCAGCTGGCAGCGGTTCGATCTCAGCATGACGGGTATGCCGCCGAGATCCACAACGTCCTCGTTCCAATCTCCGTTATTGACCCTCCACTCCAGCCGTGCGCGCATCTTGCCGCGGTATGAAGCATGTCGTTCGCGGGCCTCGGCGGGATAGATGTTGCGGTTCTTGAGCGCGACCTTGTTCGAAGGCGGCAGGACGGGCTTGTCGAGGAAGACTTCTGATATGCGCAGGTAGAGACGGTTCCTCTGGCCTGCATCTTCGGGGGCTGCGTATGGGTCGCCATCGACAAAGATCTTGGTGCCAATGTCTTTTATGCCCTGGTCAAGTTGGCCGCCGCGGGTGAAGATGGTGTTGAACGAGTTGATGTGGGGATCGACGGCAGCCGCGAGCATAGGGTATGCCGTCTTGTCCTTGGGCGGGTTGCGGAACAGGTCATGCCGCCTGAGGGTATCAAACTGGATATGTTAGCCTGGCATAGTTGTGTCGAAAGTGCTCTCTTGCCTTGGTCGACCATTCCTGAGGGCTGTCTGCCCGTGCGGGAGGCGCCATGATTCCGTATGCGGCTATTACGGTGAATGTAAGATTAGGGCGCAATCAAGCGGCATGCGCAATAGTATATCAAAGACTGTGAGTGTCGCGGTCGCAAGCTGCAGCGCGATTGAAGATGCGACGCTGCGCTCGAACTTTTTTACTAGACTAGTCGGATCCATGGTTGGGCTACCCCTGCTAGCGCGCTGGCCAAAGTCACACGCCGCGGCGGCTCCATCACTCTGCTGCAGCGTGAACCACTCCGGGCTTTCCTTAGGGCGGCACAGCTCTGCTCTCTACTTCCTCACGGCATTGCCTGCGCTCTTTGCCCCCCGACGCATCGAAGGAGACGTTGTCCATTTGCCTGTTGCTGTTGCTAAGACTACGGCGATCGCGCCTACTACATGCCCCGCAGCAAGGATCAAGGTTCCCAGACTTCCCTCCATCGCCCGTACATCACCACTCCTCCCGACCAGACGACAACTCCACCGAGTCAGCCCCTGCCCTGACGACGGCCATGGCGAACCTCTTCCGCCGCATCTACGACTGGCTGCTCCGCCTGTTCTGGTATGCCTACCTGTCCTTTTCTACTGACCCCAATGCCCACCTGGCTGCCTGATGCGCCATTTGATACTCGCCCAACTGCTCAGCTTCCGCCCAAGAAAAAGCAAACTTACCGGCGACGATAACATGGCGCTCCTGCTAACTTGCGATACCATCCAGGGCGACTGAGATGGACATTACCATGATCGGGTTGCAAAACGCTGGCAAGACTTCGCTGTTGAGAGTTCTGGCGGTGAGTATCTTCCTGATGCGGAAAGACCCTCCTGCGTCAACATCATCAACTTTGAAGACTGCGAGCTGACCCATCCGTTCTAGGGAGGAGAGTTTACTGTCGAGTAGGTCTACATCCGTCCCGAGTTGCGCAAGCCGGCGGCGACGTTGTTTCATCCGTGTCCCGATGCTACTGCTTTGCGCAACGTCGGGCGCCATCGTAGTCGGGCCCTGCGCTGACTGGCTCTAGCTCCATCCCGACGGTTGGCTTCAATATGAAGCGTGTCCAGAAAGGTCATGTAACCTTGAAGTGGTGAGTGCCCTCCATCTTCTCCCTGGTCACGCATGTCCGGCTCTTGCAGCGCCAAGCCCAGCCTTGCGGGGTGCAGCGCAATCTACTAGCCTCGAGGCGCACCTGCTGACCAGCGGCAACAGTTGGGATCTCGGAGGCCAACCTAGGTTCCGTTCCATGTGGGAGCGGTACTGCCGCGGTGTGAACGCTATTGTGTACGTCTCCTCTCATGTGATGGTGGGGTGTCGCTTATCGTCATAGGTTCATCGTCGACTCCGCTGACAAGGAGGCTCTTCCCGTCGCTGGCGAGGAACTGAAGCTCCTACTGGAGAAGCCTGCGCTGGAGGGCATTCCTCTTCTCGTCTTGGGCAACAAGTCCGACCTGCCCAACAAGCTTTCCGTCGACGAGCTGATCGAGGCGCTCGACCTCAAATCAGTGTCGCACCGGGAAGTGAGCTGCTACGGCATCAGCGCAAAGGAGGAAACCAACCTCGATGCCGTTCTCCAGTGGTTGATTGCCCGAGCCAGCAAGTGAGGTATTATGTTGTTCGTATTCGGTCGACGTAACGTGACCGCGACGGTCAGGTGCCGCTCGCAACGCATTCGACTGGGTTTGGTGTTTTCGCAACTTCACGACGCCGACGTGCCTACGTTCTTACGAATTACGGTCGTCAGCTTTACATGACATCTTTAATGATTCTTACGACTTGATGGAAGAAAAGACGGGCAGATCGCTCTGCAGGCTAGCGATGGCCATTCCAGTTCCCCAGCTCGACACATTTACTTCTTCTCATATCATTATGATGGCGACTGCCCCTTCTTCATCCTGTATCATCCTCTTTGTTTCGATTTCCAGCGAAGACGTAGCGGCTAAGAAAAGACGGAAGATTTTGGTCCAGGTATGATTGATATGTATGGTTGCGCGCGCTTCGTCTCTTGTTCGGCTCCATGAGGAGCGACCTGAGTTGCAGCGATATAATGGTATCCTCGTCTCTGTCATGTGTCGCCAATGCTGTCCTCGTGCTCGTGACTTTCGCGTGCCTCATGTGCAGGTGCGCGGCATCTGGTTTGGTATTGACAAATCGTTTGGACGGATGTTTGTCGAGGACTCCAGCGCAATTGCGTGTGAAGGCTTGTCGAGGCTCGTGGTGACTCCTCTCTCAGTCGGCCTGGCCTCCCAAATCCCATGTTGCACGCAGCTCAATGACTCCAGTACATGGTAGCGCCGCGGAAGTAGCACCTCGCGCCAAACATTGCAACAAAACGAACAAGTCACCGCGACACCGGTGGGGGAAAGAAGAAGAGAATCAATGCACCGAGAGGAAAGAAGAGAGCAAACAACTAAATTATTCGCACAACTCACGCACCGCGCTGGCAGAAAAACGGGGTGGGACCCAAGCAAAATCCATGGCCATGAACAATTGAACAACTCATCCTGCATTAGCGCCTCCCAGGGAATCCTGAGCAGAGCCCGTCTGATTGGTCAGACGGCGGCGACAGCAATGCGAACCCTTGTCGCAGAGCTGGGAGTGGAATGGCAGGATGGATTGGCAGCCGATGAGCTGGAGGGGTGCACGGGGAAGTGGGTGGGATGTTGCGATGGGGATGGGGACGGTTTGGATTGAGAGTTCGTGGCGTCGGGGACGGTGGGTGTGGCGCTGAGGGTGAGGGGTGGGTTGGAGTGGGGTTAGGGTTGATGGGGTTGAGGTACAGTACTTGATGCTACGTTTGTGAGGGAGTTTGCACGGGACGCCAATTGTCAGAGGATTGCGTTGCGAAGCATTACATGTTGAAACATCCGGCAAGATGCAATGTGGTTGTTGATAGTTAATTCCGTCTGGAAGACTCACGCGGCATCATCATCACTGGAGACACATGTCGCAAAGGTTCTAGACAACCTTGGTGATACAAAGAACACACCACTCTCGAGTACATCCCACAAGTACCGTACAAGACGCGCAATGCACCCATCTCACGATGTCAACGGCTGAGCGACCACGCAACGCAAAATCTCAAGCGCACTGCTGACCCGAGCAAAGGGCAATGTCTCGGAACCACTGGAACCACGAAGAGGCTGAACTGCGTACCCTTGGCGCAGACTCGACACAACATTGCGAAAGCAATAGGCGCAGCAGCTCTCGTGATCCTCAAGAACCATCGTCGGCCGACTAAACTCCCTCCAAAGTCTTACCCTACTAATCAAAACCACCCGAACAACATGCGCAGCACGACGTTTTGCCGCACAATCCTCCCATCTCATCTTCTCGAACAAGCTAGAACCCGGATAGCCCATCATCCATCCCCACTGCGCCTCCTCACCCACAATCAGCAGTACCAAAAAGCCTTCCCAGCGCACCCAATAAGCCCAAAGCACACATCGTAATCGTCACCAGCTTAGCCCTCTCGTCTCCGCTTTACCCGTTTAAAGCCTAGAATGCGGGCCCCAAGCCATACTCCGGGCAGCGTTCTTGGCTGGATCGTGGCTGAGCACCAACGCCCAAAGACACATCATATCCGTGTTGAGCGGATATCGTCATAAGCAGTCAGCCAGAACCCTGTTCTTCCTGCGGATTCGTTCCATCCCATCTCCGTCGCAACTTTCTGAACTTCTATCATTTCCAGCTTTTGAAACAATCGTCGCATATCGCTATAACACACAGATTTGAATATTCATCATGGTAGACCTTGAGATCGCGCATCCGCACCACACTCCTTACCGTACGAGACAGTACTACGGGCCAGATTATGGCGACAGGTACGTTTTCATTCCATGCGCTCATCATCGTCATCCTCCATCTCTCCTTGTCCATCATTCGCTGCAAAGTGGCTGTGCGACACACTTTAGCTGTGCAGCGGCGCAGTTAGTCCATGAATTTTCTGGGGAAAAGGCACGCTTGGTGGATCAAGCGGATCGGCTTGGTCCTGGCTTCGCGTTGGTGCAGATGGGTGTTTGCGACAGACGACGTCACAACGTCACTGCGCCCAGCCTGGCGCCCGCATCACTCGGCATCTATGCTGCGTGACTGCTGGAATGGCCTGCCTTGTGGTGGCCCTTGCCACGGGTTTTTCTTGGACATAATACGCTGCTTTCGTCTTTCTCACATTTTGTTCTTCAACCACTCGAACACAGTACACCTCTCACCACTCCACTTTTTGCGCTTTTGTACCAAGGACACTTGCGCATCGCGTTACTGTCAATTGATCGAGAGATATTGGAGACGCGACACACAAACACACGAATATCGCTTCTAACACGCCATGGCTAGGAGGTGCTATAGCAACAGCCGGGGCTACTACCGCTGCAACTCAGCATGGAATAACTGGGTTCGCTGGGTGGTCCTCGTAGTCGTCGTCTTGGGCTTCCTACTCCTCTTCGTACTATGCTCGTAAGTCCACCGTCCATTCTTCCCCCAACCCTCCCTCCCTTCCCTTCTCCAATCGCCATCCCCAATCGCCATCCCCAACCCCCTTCCACCCAGCACACCACTAACACCCCACAGCTGCCTAACCGCCCGCCGCCGCCGCAAAGCCGGCCGCCAGCCCTTCTACGGCACAGGCTGGGCCGCGCGCCCAGGCAATAACAACGCATACGGCCAAAACACCACTGCACCCTACTACAACAACCAACACAACCCCGCGCCGCCTTACTCCGCCGCCACCAATAACAACAACGGAGGTTACTACGGCGGCGGAGGCGCAAACCAGGGCTACTACGGTCAGCAAAACGGCGTCGAGCTGCAGAGTCCGCAGCCAACATACGGAGGCGGGTATGCGCCGCCGCCGGGCCCGCCGCCGACGAAGGGTTAAGCGTTGTACGGTAGATGATGAGAAGGCCCCTCGGAGATTGAGATGGGGTTGGATGGCGTTACGGAGATTGTGAGAACTGGACTGCGTTACGATATGTGATGAACGAGCGAGGAAGGGACAGGATGGTTTCCTTTGCTGTTGAACACGCTTGATACCTCTTTTACGCTTTAATGCTATTATTTATCTTCCTTGTAAATGCGGAAGATGTAATCTACTATTACACGTTTCACCAAAACAGCATACAGCATAACCTGCTTATAAGACCTGTTTCGTGCACATGTCTTGCTCGTTATGAAACACACGGATGGACATTTCAGCTAGTCCAGTACGGCACTGCATCATTAATTATTGATCGCGGGTGTTCAAGTATAAAAGCTGCATGTATTCCATCCATTCATGTTACTCTTGGTCTCCCATTTTCAATACTCTGCGTAGTTGCGTCCAACTAACCTCACAGGCAACACCAGACTTTCGTAAAAAGGGCATATGAACACGCTAAGCATACACCTTTTCAACCGATTCCTGCAATGCTACCTATTCTCCAAGCCCTGGTCTCTCACTTCCAACCAATCTAACCCACCAACCTCAAACCACTGGCCGGCGCACCGATCTGTGTGATGCCGTCGATCCTGCACACAGTGCCCTTGTATCTGGCGTGGTACTTGGCACCGCTGTATGGGCTGGTAACCGAAGGCATGCCGCTGTAGATAGGTGTGAAGCTAGCAGCGCAAATGTCAAAGTCGGCGAATTGATCAAAGTCAATCTCGATGACGTCGCTGGGGTTTCTCTCGGCGACCGTCTTGACGCGGTTAGCTTGCTCCTTCATCTTGGCGTTGCCGGTGCGGTCGAGCAAAGCGTTGGCAAAGTTCAGCGCCGTGTTGAGCTGCTTGTTCTTGTGGGCAAACATCATGGCTGCTGAGAGCGGGATCGAGTTGTGGGGACCCTCTAGGTCGGGGACCGTGAAGTAGGCAGAGAGTTCGAGGGCGCGCTTCTTGTCCGCGTCGGAGAGGGCGGAGATGTCGGTAGCGCCGTTGAGCAGTTTGCGACGCTCTAATTCGATGGACATGGCAAGAATGTATTGCGTCGCCGTGTTGATTGCCTTCTTAGCCTACATTGATGTTAGTGTGCGTTGGCTGGATGTATGTCTGTAAAACTTACATCAGAAAACTCAGCTTGGGATGAGACGACGTTGACCATGATGAGCTGCAATAGGCTCTTGAGGACTGCGACACCCTCCTCCAATTTGTTCTTTTGCAAGAACTGCTTGCCAGCGGTCAAGTCTGCCGATAATGACGACTCCAGATCGCGTGGGATGATGGGCAGGATCTTGCGCGAATCGGTCTCGTCTACTGTTCTCCGTACGTAGTTGACCAGCGAAGGCATGTTTGGTGTCGCTGGCAAATAAGTTCGGGTGGCTTGGTAGATCTCCTGGAAGCGCTCTTCAAGGGGAGCGAAATTGACAGCACCAACCTGTCGGTTTAGCAATTGCATGGCAGTATCGAATGATCCTGCAGCAATGTGATCTGCCGCCAAAGGTGAGTTGCGTGCCCAGAAATCAGCTTCGCTGCTTCCTGCACCAGCATCAGCACCCTCAACCTCAACGAAGTCGTCGTCTGCCTCCACATCGCCATCATCACCCATGTCCCAACCACCGATATCGTCGTCCTCGCCACCTCCAAGTTCAGCAGCCGCACCTTTAGGCTCGGTGTCGCCCATAAGATCCTCGTCGCCAAAGCTGTTTGCTGTTGGCTCTTCGGATCCGATGCCTTCGACTTCGCCTTGAAGAGCCTTTTCGAATACAGTTGAAGAAGCTGCGCGCGTTGGCCAGTTTGCTTTGTGAGTGGGCACGATAGGTTTGGCAGGTGCCGAAGGAGCACCTATTGAAGGAAGGTTAATCTGCTCCTCCGATACACCGGCAGCTTCAAGTATTGACTGTGCCTGTTCGTCGAGACCTTGTGCCTTGGCAGTGGCATATGCGAGGGGGTATAGATCGAGCTCCTGGAACATCTCTATCCGGTTTTGTACGTCGCCCAGGTAGAGTGCGTTCTGGAATCGTGCCGTCATGTCACCGCGGTGCTCCGCGATCTTAGCCATGCGCTTCAACTTGTCCTGATCTCCGGTAGTGAGGTACAGGAAGGATAGCCTGTCGAAGTTGCGCAGCTTCTGGTAGGTCATCTCTACGGTTTGGTGGTTGCCGTGTGCTAGAGCTTCGGTGCTCAGCCGTTGCCAGAGCTTTGGTCGGTCAAGCTGCTTAGCCATCTCAACTGCAACCTCCAGGTTGCCGCATTCGATAGCGAGCTCGAACCGTGTCTGAGGATCCTGCACGAATTGGAGAGCAATCTCGGGATAGCCCTTCTTCTGGAGGTAGGAGATGATGCTCTGTCCAACCAGACTTGAAGTCTTGATGATATTAAGCATCTCGTCGTAGTTGCGCTTGACAAGGGCGAGCTTGAATCGATATTCAGTGGGGTCGATTTGGAGAATCTTGGGCTTCGCAGCACGGTCCAGGCAGTATACGTTGCGACCCTTGACTCTTACAAGGTATACTGTTTGCTCCAATGTGCGTACTATACCATTGTCGCCGTTCATTAGACTGTACTTGATGTGGTTCAGCGTGGAATACAGAAGGACACCTGTGTCATCAAAGATGGCACTCTTGATCCGGATAGTCTCGTGCAGAGTGCTGACTTGCTCCAGGTTCTTGTTCGCAATGGTGACATTGTGTTTGCTCAGCAATGCGACGTGCAGTCCATCTGATGACCAGACAACGTACTTGACGCCGTTGACAGAGAGCTCAGCAAGGTTCTTCTTGGCCTGGATATCGTACAGAACAACCGAAGTAGGAGTGATCAAGAGCAAGTTACCGGTGCCGCCGAAGTAGATGTCGGTGGTTCCGTGCGGGGGCTTGATGGTCTTGGTAGTGGAGTTGCTGAGATCCTTAATGTCGATCTGTTGGTTAGACTGGTTGAAGACGGCAAATCGGTTCCTGGCCACGAATACAGCCGAGCTACCAGATCCGCGCTTGGTGTCGGTCGGTTCTACCGCTCCCGAAGCGTCGCGCGGAAGGCTGATCAGCTCGTATGTTCCGCTGTCGGCTGGAGATGTGACCAGTATAGAGCGTTCGGCAGGGTTGTAGGACAGTGTTCGTGGAGGTACCCAGGCGCTTCCCAGCTTCTTGAGAGACAGCATCGATGGGGACTCGATGTTCTTCTGGAAGTCGTAAGACCGTACGTGCTTCTCCTTCGTTATGTAGAAGAGGTTGTTCTGGTAGACGGCGGATGCGGGCCGCTCGCGTTCCAGCTTGAATACCATGACACCGTTGTCGTGACCGGCAGCGAACAGGTTGATCTCAGGATGAGCTGCGATGACCCAGAAGCGATCGTTTTCGCGTTTGAAGGACTGGACCGATGTACGCCTGTTGAGATCCCATACGCGAATCGTCTTGTCTTCTCCAACGGACAGGATCAAGTCCTGATGTGGGTGGAACAGACACGCCGACGCGTTCTGGAAGTGCCCTCGGCAGGTATCGACTTCCCATGCCTTTGTTTCCGACATCCTCCACAACTTCACGAGACGGTCGTCACCAGCGGAGACGATCAATGGGAGTGTAGGGTGGAATGCGACCCAGTTAACACCTCGGTCGTGGCCTTCGAGGACGAACTTGACAACAGCATCGGTGTTTCCGAACATATCCGCCTGGTTCTGGTTCGCGCGTGCCATCTGGTCCTCGAATGACAAGGCCTGTGGTGCCGAATGCTTCTTCCTGAGCCCAGAGATATCCCAAACGCGGACCGACTGATCGAGCGAGGCGGAAACGATGAGGTCTTCCTTCGGGTGGAATTGCGCGCACATGGTGTAATGGTTGTGACCGGTCATAGTACATACTTCGGAGGGTTAGGTGTGTTTTTGCGAGGGATGCGACGGACTTACTCAGTGATCCTATGAACGTTAGTTGTGTGCCAAACAGCAGTTGAGGATGTCACTTACGGTTCTGCCAATTCCATATACGAATGGTCTCTGATTCGTGTTAGCCATTGCACATGGAACCCATAGCATGCGCTTACGGTCGTCGGAACTACTCAATATCCATGGCAGCTCGTGGTGGAAGAAGACGGTCCGGACATAGTCCAAGTGGCCGTTCAATGTGAAGAGACATCGCCGAGTCTGGTATGACCAGACCTTGATCTTGTAGTCGTCGCCACCAGACACGAATCTGTGCAGTCTCAGTATGTTGCTGGCGCTCCCAAGTTGTCCACGGGATGCTCACAATGGCTGGGTCTTGTGGAAGTCAACGCCGCGGACCGGCCCGTCGTGCTCTTCGAAGCGATCTATGAGGGTACCCATGCGGTAGTCCCATAGTTGGATGGTCGACGAGTGTAGCGACACAAGGATCCATGGCCTGGAAGCGGTCAGCGGGGAAGGGAGCCGCAAGGTGAAGGTATGAGCTACCTCTTGGGGTGAAAGGCAATGCCTTTCGCACGCGAAGACTTGGACTCAAACTGCCCGGGATTAGCTAGCTACACGGTCGCATAGATGGGAGCTGCTTGCCTTGGTCAACATCGAGGGAGAGGAGGCCATAGCGGAATTGGGGACGAAGCCGCAGCTTCACTGTCGTCTAGAGTGGCCTCAATGCAAGAGACAGCAGGCGCGAAGGGATACGGGTATAAGGTAAGGAGAAAGAAACACGGTGTTGACTATTATCTTTGGTATTGCTGCCTGCGTGAGCTGCTCTTGCTAATGTTCGATATGCCACGCAACATTCGGATTAACCGCCTAACCGTCCTGGTCTCTAGCGCGCTTTCCCCACCAAGGTCACGTGAGATCTGCCAGACATCGCCTCAACTCCGTCTGAAGCGCTCGGGGCCGGTTTCAATTTCAAGCGAACCTCGAGTTCCCACACTAGTTGCCGTAAGGCAGAGCCTCACTTCCTGACGCTGCCTCATCTCAATTTCGCCGCCGCTGCGTGGCTCGGCTCCCCTGGTCTGGCGTCCTGCAACGATGCCCCGCAGAACTCACCAATGCGACTCCGTGTGCCAGCTGGCATCGTAGTGCCAACCCTACCTACCCGCCCTGTGCAGGACAATTTTGCTCGCTGACCTCATTGGGCATCCATCCTGTCTGACGCAAGGTAGATTGCCCGAGTCTCTGTTGCGACTAATCGTTCGCAAACACGCAGCATCGGAGTCATGGAGGAAACCGATGCAGCGCATGCAAAGGGCAGCAATGCTGCAGACCCGCTCCGTGGCCGGCCAGCTCATCGCTGAAACGCAGGTGATAATTGGCGACAGCCCGCACACATTTCTGTCTCTGCAGGGAATTCATACCTCCTCCAGTACTCTTCTTCCCCTTTAACGTTCCCATTCGATCACCACAGACGCATCGCATCCGAGCTGACCTGCACTTTGTGGCTGTTACCGATCTGCGAGCTACGCTACCTGCATTGCTGCCTATAGTACTCCAATTCTACCTGCACGATAAGCCAAGGCGTTGCAGGGTTCGACTTGTCAAAACTCTCCACCTCTCCGCTCGAGCTCGCCGCTCAGATATCCCAGTAAAACACTCCCGGGCCACCTCCAGAATGATACAGTCGACGCAACTCCTCTTCCGTATTTCAAAGATTAGACACGCCTGTCGGACTTTGATCCCTTAAGAAGTCAGCACAAATACCTGAAAACATCATCGATACGTACGCGATCGCAATTGGCTGCAAGCAAGCCTGACGCAACTTTCCCCGTCAAATCACCACGACACCCTCCTGGCCATGGCAACACACCACGAGATGCCAGCCGCCGCGCTCAACGGCCATCCGCAATCACCACCCATGACGCCTACTCCTCATACCATTAGTCGCTTCCCGCCGCCAAAATTCTCAACCTCTCCAATACATCGACGCGTAAGCAACTTCATCCAGACACCTCCACTGGAGTACATTGAACCGACCGGACACGACTATCACTTCAGCTTCACACGCCCGCAATCGTGCCCGGCATCTTCGCGTCTGTCGTCAGAGTCCGACAGAGCTTATCCGGCAACAACGTTGGAGGGATCTGAATACGAGACCGACTCTGAGGAGGAATGCGAATCGGATCAAGAAAGTGAACAAGAAGAGGAGATACCGATGCGTCGGGTAGAGAAAGCCCAATTCGTACTCGAAGAACTGGACAGCGATCCAGGCTACGACTGTGACGTAGAGGTAGTGCGACCAGACCATTGCGAAGATGCAAGGAGCGAAAGGAGCGGCACAAAGGCAGCGATATTCGCCAGAATGAACGAGCTACAGCTCGAAGAAGACACTTCAGAAGACGAGGAAAGGGAGCGGATCTACCTAAAGAAGAAGAAACGATGGAGCGCAGGCATTTTCAAGCGCAGCCACAGCCAGAGCGTGGAAGGAGACAGCAGTTACTCCGACGATGACCCTCTCGATGACAGGGACCAGAATGCTCGCCGACTGCGCCGCCGCGTCCGAGGGCCTAGAAGAGGCTCGCTTATCTTCGAAGACCGTGGCTTCTCGAACACGAATAACATTGCGGAGGTTGAGGAACCTGACGAAGGAAGGGTGCTACACTCCAAGGGACCGCCATCCATCCCTAGTGATGACGCCTTTACTCTAGACGAGCTGCCGTTCTGGGGAGGGCACAACATGATGGAGATGGAATTTGAGTCTGACCAGGTGTCAGAATTATGATTGACGAACCTTAGAGGCCATTACCATGACCTTACGGCTGTTTTCTTAGCTGATTGCGTTCACGAGCGACACGCTCGCTGTCGATTGTTGGATTTAGCGTAGCGTACTATTTTCTGAATGCATCTGTTTTTACCTGCACATTGCTCAGCACCCACCAGACAGTAAGACATGGTCTAGATGCGAATTTGAAATCCACCTGCGTCTAAGCTCTGCCTTTGTTGCAGTTTGTTCTTAGAGACGCGTTGGTCTCGCGAGTCAGTGCGGGCTAAACTTAGCCATCCTTAGGTAAACAGAAGGCCCACCTGCCCAGGCGTCAACGGCGGAAGCTGACGGCCGCTTGCAAGCGACCAAATCAACCCACGCCAACTATCAGGCAACACGCATTCACGAAGGACGCGGATAGTCGCCCTTCCGTTGTTCTGCGCCGAGTCGACTGACCTCAGTCACAAAACGCAGCTCATCTCGCGCGAGACCACCCCAAGGCTAGCCTCACTATAGACGTTTACCGGTAGATTGCACACGCATCATCAATCCTCTGCACGGTCAACTTTTCTAGCCGTTTCATCTTCATCAGCGCAAGCGTCAAGAAGTAATTTCCATCCTTTGTCCCATCTATTTCGTGCAAGCGACGCCGTGACGCCGAAATACACCGCCCCCACAAGATCCACGCCCCATCAGCGCTCCCGCTGTAAGGCTGACGGACCGCCAGACATAGTCGCACCGACTTGGAATCCCAGCCAATGATTATTCTTGACCCCAGGATGTCTAAGCATATCGCATCCCTCGCTGAAGAAAATACACAATTAGTCGGCAAGCGTCAACACCGTACTGTACAGCCCTCCGGAATCGTGACTTCCGTCCAGGACAGCTGATGAGTGCTGGTAAGACGGATGAGAACAATGGAGGTATAAGTAAAGCAGCGTAGAACACTCAGTTGGAGAATCATCTCCTTACAACACAACCAGAAACTCATACTACCATCTCATCTTTTCCTCTTTACTTTCCATTATCTCCTTGTTTCTTTACTGTCTATCCAAGCCTTCGCTTCTTAATCAGTAATCATGTTCACCATCACCAACATCGTCGTTGCTTCGCTTGCTCTTGGTGCTGTTCAGGCACTCCCTCAGCACATCCATGCGAGACAGGACAATGCTACTTCCACTCCTGCTGCCCCGGCAGCACCTGTTTCGACGCCTGACATCTTCGACGACCTCCTCACTGCTCCTACAGCCATCAAGCGTTTCCAAAGGCTTTTGACTGTGGGAGAAGGCCCTGAAGGCCCTGAGCTCCTGAAGGGAGACGACCTCCGCAAGGCGACCGTCTTCACTTTCGACAGGAATGCGAAGCCAGCCCCTGGCGCAGAGGGTGGGGTTGCGGTCGCAGCTGTGAGTGTCCTCGTTTCTGTAATCGACACAACTTATACTAATCCCCTCACCAGAACATCGGAAACTTCCCCATCCTAACCGGTCTCGGTATCTCCACCACCGTCGGTTTCCTCGAGCCCTGCGGCATCAACACCCCCCACGTCCACCCGCGCGCCACCGAGATGCTCACCCTCGTCGAAGGCGAGAAGATGGAGTTTGGTTTCGTCCTCGAGAACGCACTTGTCGGGCCTAAGCAGAACCCAGAAGTCGCAGGGTACCTCAACGCCTTCGAGGCTACAGTCTTCCCTCAAGGCTCCATCCACTACCAGTTCAACAACAACTGCAAGCCAGCGACTTTTGTGGCGGCGCTCAACTCCGAGGACCCTGGTACTAGCCAGATTGCGCAGAACTTCTTTGCGCTTAACTCGGAGGTTGTGGATGCTACGCTTGGTTTCCCGGTAGGTTACATTTGTTAGAATGGTTTGGAGGTTATGCTAACGTGTTTTGAAGGGTCAAATCAACAGCAAGAACATCGACGAGTTCGGTGCTTCGCTTCCTGCCAACCTTGCCCGTGATGCCAGAGCCTGCATGGCTAAGTGTGGACAATAAATCTACTGGGAAGGCACAACACGTTGAGGGACACTCGGGAGGTTGTAATATGACGGGACGACATCTTCGAAAGCAGCATACATAGCGACGGCGCGATTTAGATTCACCGAACGATTGGTGGGCATTGGTTATTGGTTTTACTTCTTTGTGGATTTACCTTGGACTTATCTGTTATTGAGCTTTACACTCCTTATGCAAGCGAATAGAAAACACTTGTTTATCAGAGCTACTGCATTATGTCATGCGTGAGTGTTTGTTCGAGCTTCCTCAAAAGAAGGGGTGGGCAGCCACACATGTGGCACAGCAACTGGACCCTGGAAATGTTATTTTGGTGACTGTTCCCGGCCCCGCAACGACTCATCCAGTTGGGCGCAGGGCGCAAGATACACCAACAACTCACCCGCTTCGACTGAGCTTGAGAAAACCAGCTTTAAATCGCTGTTTTTGCTCACCCCTTCTTTCTCCAAACAACTCCACTACTCTCCTTCCGGTCTCGAGTCAATTGGCACACCAGCTGCCCCTCGTACCCCACCACGGCCGACACAATGGCAGACCCCGCGGCAATCCAACAGGAGATCGCGGACATTGAGAAGAGAATCGAAGAAGCGCAGACACAACTCAAGGATGCAAAGTCAAGATTACAAAAAGCTCAGGCAGCTTCGTTCGTCAACCCCGGCGCGAACATGTCCGAGGAAGAAAAGATGGCGCTCATCAAGGTCAACCTGGCGGAAGTCTTGAACCCAGAGATCATGGACGAGGCGCTGAAGAAGCAAGGACACTTGAAGGTTTACTGGGGTACTGCGACAACAGGACGGCCACATTGCGGTTACGTATGTTGACATCGCGAGATACGGTCGCGTGCACTGCTAACGATGTATACTCTAGTTCGTACCTATCCTCAAGCTCGCACAATTCCTCGCTGCAGGCTGCCACGTCAAGATCCTGCTCGCAGACATCCACGGCTTCCTCGACAACCTAAAAGCGCCCATCGAGCTCGTCAAGTTCCGCGCGGAATACTACCGCTACACCATCACCGCGCTACTCAAGGCCGTCAAGGTGCCAATTGACAAGCTGGAGTTCGTGCTGGGATCGAGCTATGAGTTGAACTCGGACTACACCATGGACCTGCTGAGACTAGCGAGTATAACAAGCGAGGCAGCTGCAAAGAAGGCCGGCGCAGAGGTTGTCAAGCAGACCGAGAACGCGCCCTTGAGCGGCCTCATCTACCCACTCATGCAAGCCCTCGACGAGCAGTACCTCGACGTAGACGTCCAATTCGGAGGCGTAGACCAACGCAAGATCTTCGCCCTCGCAAAAGACGTACTCCCCAAGATCGGCTACAAAGAGCGCGCCCACTTGATGAACCCCATGGTTCCCGGTCTGCAAGGCGGAAAGATGAGCTCGTCCGACCCAGACTCCAAGATCGACGTCCTAGACGACGCAGACGTAGTAAAGCGCAAGCTTAAGAAAGCGCACGCGGCGCCCAAGATCGTCGAAGAAAACGGCGTCCTCAGCTTCGTCGAATACGTACTCCTGCCCGCCAGCCACCTCAACTACGGCGAGCCCAAATTCGTCGTAAAGCGTCGCGACGCCGAGCTCCTTACCTACACAGACATTAAGAAGATGCAAGAAGACTACGCAGCCGACATTCTCACACCCCAGGATCTCAAGCCCGCGGTTACGGAGGCGCTCAACGCGCTTCTGGAGCCCGTGCAGAAGGAGTTCCAGGGCAACCAGGAGTGGAAGGATATCGAGCAGAAGGCTTACCCGCCGCCGCCGGTGGTCAAGAAGGAGAAGAAGGTTAAGAATAAGGGTACTTTCCATCCGAAGCAGAGGAATGTGGAGGCTAAGCCTGATGGGCATGTTGAGGGTGAGGATAAGGACAAGGTTGATGTTGGGACTGAGGGTGGGGAGAAGGCTATTGAGGGGCTGAGTTTGGAGGAGAAGAAGTAGATGGGTCGGATAGATGTTTCGTGATACCGTGTAGATGAGCATACTAGTTGCGTCCGTCGTTGCATATGCCTACAACACTCTGTTTAGTAGTGTCTGTGAGGATTACATGCTCTGGTTGGTACAAGTGTCTCGTCCTTCATGGAGCCTAGAGAAGGCTACCGTGGTATTCCACATCCAATAGTTATGAGTCTTCCTGTTCCTCCAGAGCCGCCAGTGCCACTCAAAGCTGCTGACTTCGTACCTTTTCCACTCTGGATAAATATTTGTTGAAGCAGCTCCATCCCTCTTTCAAGAGTACAACTCCGCCTCATCCCTTCTCATCTCCATCCCCCCACCTCCCTCCCCATGCATCCCATGCTCAGGTCTCTTCAACGCAGTCCCCTCCTTCAAATACAAAATCAACCTAAACGCCGCATTCCCATTCAAATAATACCGATGCAGCCTCTTACTCCGTGTAAACCCCAGCCGCTCATACAGTTTCAAACTGGCTGTATTCGACACCTCAGTCTCGAGGACGATCTCGTCGGCGTCGCGCGCAGTCATGGCGTCGATGGCGAGGCGAACGAGTTGCGTGGCTATGCCGCGGCCGCGGTATTCTTCTTGCGTGGCGAGCATGGCGATGTAGCCGCGGTAGGTGCCGCTGCGGTGGGGTTCGAGTTTGCAGGTTATTACGCCGATGAGGGAGTTTGTGGGGGAGAGGGCCTGTGGAGGGATGAGGGTTAGACACTGTAAGGTGGTTTGGGGAAGGGGGAGAGAGAAGTACCATGTAGCATAAATCACCCCATTGGTATAAGAAGTACCGGTATACATAGATACTGTATGGCTCGGATAGGTCTTTGGAGATTAATTGGCGGATGGCGGGGAGGTACTGCTCTTCTTTCGAGGGTTCGTATTGGACATATTGGAGGTCGTCAGGTTCCTTCAGCTGTTTGGTCAAGGGTGCCGCCGTCGCCGTCGCATCAACTGTGACGTCGCCATCTTCATTGCCGGCCATGGCGCGTGGGAAGGAGAGCGATGCGCGTATGCTCAGCCCCTCATAGCGGCCGGCTTGGCCCGCCGTGTCAGGAACGTGCT